AGGTCGTCCCGGATGTCGTCTACAATTTCGTCCTTTAGGACGTCGTCCTCGACGTCATCATCGAGGTTGTCCTCTAGATAAATGCTATCGCAATTCATGGACAAAAAACAATAGTGGTTTCTGCAGCAATTTTTCTTGCTCTCACTTAATATGACTGTTTCTGCATAAACCGCGATTTTTATCATTTTATTAAAACGCAACAAAACGAGGGTTTTAATATTTAATACAAGCAATTCAATTCTTACTTTTAAAAGAACAAAGAAAAAGTACTGTAGCTAGCACCCAACTTCGAGTTGACTAAAAAAATAAAGCAATGTTGAAATCTCTTCTTCTGAAGCTCCTATTTGAGCTCAACATGGCGTCTTTCAATGTTCATACTTAGTCGAAGGCGTCGTCTTTTACGTCGCTCTAAAGGTCGTCCTAAAAGTCGTCCTAGATGTAGATCTTTAGATCGCCCTACAGGTCGACCAAGAGGTCGTCCTAAAAGCCATCTTCCACGTCGTCCTCTCGGACGTCATCCTCGGCGTTGTTCTAGAGGTCTTCCTATAAGTCGTCCTTGAGATCGCCCCAAAGATTGTTCTAGACGTCGTCTTTTATGTCCTCTAGGATGTCGTCCTCGACGTCGTCTTAAGGGGTCTGCAAACTAGCGCCCTGGTTCATGTACTTTTCACCGCTCTATCAAAATGCCGGGGAGACTTCACACTTCGCCACGACACATCACGGCAAGCCACGGCGCGCCGTCCCGTGACGTTTTCCATGACGAAACCACTGGATGCCACCAATCACGGCCACGATGGGCACAAGCGGGGTGAAGAGGAGGTCAAAGTTTCGTTCGGCAAGGCTTGCGGGGAGACTGGGTTCGCGGCGTGGCGACCGGCCCGACTCCCGGATGCAGCGAAACGCAGCGAGCACGTGGACAGAGCCTGGGCCAGTCACCCACCGTTTACCCTTCTCCAACTTAACACGGCTTGCCATGGGTCGCTGCATGTTCGAACTGAAGAACGGATCGGGGAGTCCAGCTTTTGCGATGAAGCTGTGAGACGTTCACGGTCCATGGCGCCAGTTTTCATACCCTTTTAAACGTCGTCCTCGAGGTTGTCCTAGACGAATGCTATCGCGATACATAGACAACCAACAATAGCGGTATCTGCAAAAATATTTGCTATGTTGGCAAAAAAAAAAAATACTTTATGCAGTATAGACCCAAACTTTTGGAGTAATAGCATGTGACTATGCCTATGCCTTTTACCGATGCACCTGTAACCACAAATTAAAAAACCAAACAAAAAAAAAACAGTCAAGCCTTGTCGTCAAGGAACATTCTGACCCTCCAGGAAATGGGGTGAAAATGTAGCATCTTCGATATAATGCTGTTGCCTCAAACGTTTCAGAGTTTCAGCCCCCGAATCAAAGCGGGCCCCCAACAGCATTTCCATGAACTTCTCGGGCTCTACGGACCAGAGTAGGAGAACAGAACCACCGCTGCCACAATGTCGTGGTCGAGAAACGGGTTAACGATGACAATAACTGATTTATTGCGTACCGTACGCGGTCCTGTGGGCCACCGGACTGGCGGCATCAATTACATGACGGGCTTTGTGTCCCAACAATTGTTCTCGCATTTTTGCTGGTGCCTGTCACATAAGGCGCTGCGCTCGGTGGAGGCTCTAGCAATTTGGCTCTAGTATTGCCTACAACAGTTCTAAATCACAAAAAAATATAAAAATTAAAAGGGACGGCAAACTTGTATCAATGTAGCAAAGAGAAACGTGTTCGGCCGGCCTGACACGAAACAACTTTTTCACCATTTTGACATCGCAAGGCAAACACAATTTTGCAAGTTTTACGGTCTAGTTTCGACCGTAAAACACTAGTGGCATACTCCAGTGTGGTGTGTTTCTGAACTTCGGAGTATACTGCTGAAGGTCAGGATAGGCATGTCAGCATAGCACAAGCCTGTTTCAGGCTTGCAACATCAATGCTGAGGTCTTTAATTGTGACTGCATACATAAGTTTCCCAGAAAGACATCTTGGCCGAAAGAAAGCTTTCTGAAAGGCAGACTTGTTTTTTTATTCTACTTCCTTCATCAACGTGAGGGCGACCCAGGCAAGGGATCACAGTTGTTAACTGCCGATCAAACATCATCATACTTGGCGTCTGCCCTGTCGTCACACAAGGCTACATATTTAATCTTTGGCAGTCAATATTGCGGTTTTTGGTTTCTTGTACCATTCTTTGGGCCTGCCCATTCGTTTCCGGGTGGTGCGGTGTACTGGTGATGTGCTCGATGTCGTTGTTCTTGAACAAATATTCTGTTTCTTGTGACACAAATGACGTACTGTTATCCGTGAGCACCTTTTCGGGCAATCCAAACGTTGCGAATAAGTTCCAAAGCTCCTCGATTACAGAATTTGATTCAATGATTCGCATTTGGCGTGCCTTTAGCCACTTGCTGTAAGCGTCGGCGGTAATTAGGAACATTTCATCTTGCAGTGGTCTTACGAAATAGGCATGGATCGTTTTCCATGGCTGCGATGCCCGATGCCACTAAGGACAAGGCACTTGTGGTGGAGATCGCTGGTGCTCCTGACACCAACAATTTTAATGGCTATGCGTTCATTAAAACAAAGCATTCAGAATGTCGGCGAGAATAGTTTAGCGGTTATCCAACAATTTAAAAAAAGTTCCACCGACAACACAGATGAGAAGTAGGTCTTTTCATGGTGATGCATGTATTTGGGGATATCTGTCTTACTAATAAGACAACTTTTTGAGGGTCTGAACTCCCGCAGGTTTATTAAAATAAATCGTGAAAAAAAAACGGAATATTAAAGCGATCACTGTCTGGCAGGAAGATGAATATAAAAGTTTGAAATCTCAGAAATGAAGACCTGGGACATAACGTCTTGGAACCCATGTATCATTTGGCACCGACTTTGAAGGAGACTTGGGAAGTAATCCGTTACAAGTAACGGATTACTTCCAATACGTTACTTTTTCAAGTAATTTTGTAATTGCCACGTTACTTTTTTTCGGGAGTAATTTGTAATGTAATTTCATTACAAAATATTGGTAACGAATTACTTTAATTACCCGTTACTTTTTAAAAATATGAGCCTAATGACTGGAGCAATATAAGGAGAATATTAAGCAGCATAAAGAGAGCAAGTTGAACAAAATAGAAAACATCAGGAAGAGGAGAATAGCCGAAAAAAAAACACGAGTTTTTGTATGACCGATCACTGGGAGCACTAGAAAAACGGGCAAGGTATGTGCAGTGCGCCCCAAACTTAACGCCGCCACTCGAACGCCCGACTTTCGCGGAATGGCGCTATCCTGGCGGCAGCCGTTTCAACTAGTCGGTCACGTGAAGGCCATTCCCAAACGCCGGACCGGGGGAAGGGGAGGTAGTAGGGCCGCCGCTAAAAACCCCTGACCCGGCGAATCACAAACCCAAATCGTCAAAATCGCGTTTTTTTTTTGTTTTTGCGCGCGCTTTGTTTGCATTCTAGCAGCGCCTTCAAGCTTTCTCCTCAACGATACATTATCAAAATTTCTTTGTTATCAAACTTAAACGTGCAAACAAAACGAAAAAAGAAAAAAAGAACGATTCTGACGATATGAGTTTGTGATTCGCAGAGTCAGGGGCCCTTAGCGGCGGCCCTGCTACCTCCTCTTAGCCCGGTCCGGAGGTTGGGAATGGCCTTCACGTGACCGACTAGTTGAAACGGCTGCCGCTAGGATAGCGCGGCTCCGCGAAAGACGGGCGTTCGAGTGGCGGCGTTAAGTTTGGGGCGCACTGTACATATATACGAAAGACAAAGATCAATTAAAACAACGCCGAGTAGGCTCTCCGTCGCCTTCCATTGTGTTTTTCTCCTTCTTCTGGGCAGCGGAAAGGTCTTCGTGTTTATTTGTTTTTGTCTATCACACCGTTTAACCCTTTCCAACTTCTCCGACGTCTCCCGCCACCTGCAAAGGCATCAAACGCGGGTCCGTATCCTCTTGATTCGCGGGCTCACAACGCGCGTAACAAACGATGTAGCCTCGCGCGAGGGGGTCAAATTATCTTTGTGTTATATCTGAGCTACTTCAATTTAGCATGCTCTTGAGGCACGGCTGAAAAGCGCCCGGCTCGAGGCTAAGAGCATCGTCTTCGAGGGTGCGGACGATAGTTATTTTTGTTTACTTGTGTGGGCATGGTGGTCGAGTCCACGTCTCGCATTTTGGTCAATTGTCAAAATAAAGGGGGGGGGGGGGGGGGGGGGGCTACCTAAGGAGTGCTGACTGAGAGAAAGAGAAAGAACGCGTAAAAGGGGTGTGATCCTTTATTGTTTTGGTGAGACCGATGACCCCGCTTCTCTCGCTCTCTATGCCCCCCCCCCCCCCCTCCGCTGGCCTCCACGAATATTGATATGAAAGTGAGAACCGATGAACGATTGATAACCCGTAACCGCCACTTTTTCTCTGACTGGTGGAGTTTTCGGTCACGGAGTGTCTGTCGTCTCCATGGCCATCTCTTAATGAGATGTTCAAAATTCATGGCATTGAGGAGAACAGAATCCTAGAGTTTCAGTGCATACTTTGCTTGCCAAAAAAAGTAAAAAACATTGTCATTAGCAAGAACAACAAACTCTAATCTACGGAAACACATCAAGGTAAGCTGAGACACCTGCATTCTGCATATGCTATACATTGTAATGTTTGAACCAAGTTTTTCTTTTCTTGTGAACAACAGACGAAACGCCCGAGCCAATATAAAGCTTTCGTGGATCCCTTCTTTAGCTCCGAATCTCGTAGCGGAGGTAGACGCTGCTACTGAGCATGCGCACCGCTAGCTTTGTCTCCACAATTCCAGGGGTCATTTCCGGAGGCAATAAGCTGGCGGGATGGCGGGTGTGGTTGCATTTTTCGGTATCTTGTCAGCTTACAGGTGAACGAATGCACCTACACTCTTTCTCTTCAATACAATATTTTATTTTTACAAAGACTACCATAGCCTCCTCAGACCTGAGAGAAAAGTACCAAAGAAAAAAACATGAAACTCATTTAATATGTCAAGAGTGGTATTGGTATACATTTGCCCAGAAAGAAAAAACATTCATTTCACATGCAAGGGAGAAAAACGTTGTGCCCAAGTGGGTACCTCAGGTCTTGGAAGTATGAAAATCGCGAAAACAATTCCTGTTTTGCAAGCAAAAAAATAGGGCGCATTTTGTGCACCGGATGCGGCTTTTTCCGGTACAGCCGGGATTTCTGCATCTCATCTGCGACTTGCAGGGTACGTGCTCAGGAAAATGTCCGTACATGTCGAAGCGGACCTCATCGACCGGAAGTGGAACTACCTTCCGCTGTTTTCTGGCTGGGGGAGCGGACTCACTTTCTTCATCTGACTCCAGAGCATCTTCCTCTCCATCAGCTTGAACTTTCGGACATGAACGAATCAGCGCTTCGGCGATCCTACTCTTGAACTCGAAAAGGTCCAAAGTGTCTTTCCTTGCAACGCCACAACGCTTGCAGTCACTCCGATATTCTATCCATGAGTTTATCGTCGCCAGGTCCAGAAAGTGAGCAAAAACCCTAATGGTCCACTTTTTTGTACGTATTTTGGTCCTGTAATAGGAGACGTATCTGTCAGTTAGATCCACACCGCCCATGCCCGTGTTGTAGGCCTTGACGCATGCTGGCTGAGGTATTTCAACCTTTTTTCCTTCTTCTTTGGACCACCTTTTGCATTTTCCTTCCGGCGAAATACCGAGCGCAGCCGAAAGCAGGGTGACTCCTTTTTTGTCCTTCCATTTTGTAATGCAGACCTTATCGTCGTTGCGAACAACGCAACATGAGTCGCCCCGCGCCATTTCTTTGTCGCTCGGCAGCTTTGCTGCTGCTCCTCCTGTTCTGTTGGACATAACTGTGCCGGTCAAGTAAATGTTCCTTTCGATGAGAAAGTCTGCTAGCTTCAGACCTGTAAAGAATCGGTCTGTGAACACTTGGACGGGTTGTTCGGTCGGGACTGTTTCAAGAAGGCGCTTTACGACTGCACCACCAAGTCCAAGTTCCTTCAGGTCATGATCGGGAACGGTTCCTTTCCCCGTGTAAATCACAAAGTCAAGTACAAGCCCCTCAGTTGTGGCCAGGACAAAGTTCTTCAAGCCAACGGGGTTTGGCTTACTGGGGACATACTGACGAGCAGGACACCGTCCACTGAAGGGTATCATCTGCTCGTCGATGGAGAGCTTTTCCGGGCGAGGAAGCTCAAGACAAGCCTTTCGGAAGCACTCGAAAATAGGCTCTGCTCGAAACAACTTGTTTTGCGATTGGGCTTCCGTGATTGCTGTCACATCGACGAAGTGCAACATACTACGCAGCTCGAAAAATCGGTCGCGCACCATGTTCTCGGTGACAAGCGGCACTGCCAACGTACTAGACCAATACAGCCTAGCCCTCGGAAGTCCAAAAAGACTCATGATCATGTGAATTCCGGCCAGTTTCTGCAACTCCAATGAAGTTGTCTTCACTGATCTGTGAGCTCGCACTTGGACAGAGTAGAGGTTCGTCTGATCTGCGCATAACTTCCAGAAACTCTCTGGAAAATACTTCTTGAAATAGTTGAATGCTGAACTGGGGGCGTTCGAGTGGACTTCAGGCAAAACTGGCGAATCCGCGAAGCGGGCTGGGAAGCTGAAAACAAGGCGTTATTGTTAGATTCAAACAGAAAACACAGTTTTAGTCTGATTCTTACTCTTTGACTTTCCACAAAGGATCACGCCTTTTGTCTTTTTCTTGGCCCTTGCTTCGTGGGACTTCTGTGTCAGTGTCACCACTATCAGTTTCATCGTCACTGCTGTCGTGGAAATAGTCCACGGTGTCTTCGTCGTCCGACACATCTACATCACTCTGATTGAGTAGTTGCTCTATTTCTTCATCCGTTAGAAATTTTTCTGAAAAAAAAATAAAATCGGGTGAAGCAAGTTTGCGTAGTTTCGACATCCAATACATTTTTTCGACGCCGAGTCGTGACCTGAGGTACCCAACTGGGTACTTCAATAATGAATCGAAGATATCTCAAATAATAAAGTGCTTAAAGTGCTACAGTTTGCTGTGAGATTGGACATTCTTGTTATGAAGCGATGTCAACACAAAGAAACAAAATTTTACGCGCGATTGTGAAGGTACGATGACTTTAACTTACCCGCCCGGCGACGCACGTTTTCGCTGCTGGAGCCCGCCATATCTTCACGTCCTGACAAGTTTGAGCGCGGCCAACTCGTGGCATCTAGCGGCAGTTTTGAGAACTGATTAGTACCCAAACGGGTGCGTTCGGTTTCGTGTCTATACTATTTAATATAAGTTGACGGCGCATGCTTTCCAAATGTACCCGTTTGGGGACCCAGGGAATGAGGAGGATAGTACGTGCGTATGAGAAATGAAAAGTAGTGGTAGCAGAACATTTTTGAAAAATATCAAAATTGTTTCCATTGTTTTCGGATTAGTGTACGGAAAAAGTAACGCGAAAGTAATTTGTAACGGAACGACTAATGTAATCCGTTACTTTTCAGCGAAAGTAATTTGTAATGGAAATCTATTTCATTTGAGGCTTGTTAATTTATAATTGTAATCTATTACATTTTTCAAGTAATGAGCACAAGTCTGCTTTGAAGCCCCTTGAAACCAGTGACGAAGAAACCACTTGTTGTGAAACGTTTTGATACAATCTTCGTTTGTGCAGCTTTTTGACTGTATTTGGGCTGTGAGATAATTTCAAGAATCGCATTGCTTGAAAGTAGTATTTCGGCAGGAAAGATCATGTTAAATAAATTATTAGGTACAAACTTAAAAGTGGCCAATCTTAAAACTCAAATCAGAAAAAAAAAAAAACAACAGAAAATTGAGGTGATCGAAATAATGTTGTCTAAAAGCATCGATGCTGCTAAATTAACGGCCTAGTTTTCACACTCAGTACTTCCGTCTTCTTGATCTCACCATACGTACCTGAATATTTCTTGATTTAATTTTCTTCGTTTTCACGGAGAAGCGGGCGTGTAGTGACACAAAAACTACTTTTGATAAGTTCAAGTAAACACATGGACAAACTAGTTATAGTCGTGCACACTTCTTTAATGAGCCTTTTCTTTTTTAATGTTATAAATTATAATCACGTATGTACACTTCACACTGGAAACTACACAGGAAAGGGAACATACACTCTATGTACAAAACAAAATGGAGAAATTACTAGCGGGCGTGAGGGTGCGGCTGTCATGGGCCATGCATCAAAATGATCTGCCAACCCGGGGAGAAGAGAGGGCAGGGTGATAACGCGAGATGGCAACGGTGGGGGCGAGAGTTGGACAGTCTTGTCCAACATTGATGTGTGAACCGCGATTGTCAAAGTTGTAAGCAATGCCTTATTTGAAAGTAGGACAAAAGAAACCAACAACCCTGATCTTCAAATAGGTTATCCGTCTTCTTTGATTTTATCTAACGCCTCCTCTAATCTTGCAGATCTCTCCAAATTCAAGCATAACGTACCGAGTTAGTCCGTTATTTATTTCTGATAATAGCCATTCCGTTTTGTGTCTAAACAGTTTCATATTTGCGAGACGATAGTTGATTGTTAGTGCAACACTTCGAATAAGAATGCAGATTATCTACCAACAAAAGCCCAGTGTCAGACATCTTCTCGTCTAGAAAATCTGTTTACTGACGATTTCAAAATATTTGGTCGTTTCCTAAATTTGTTGTTTGCAAGTCATGTCCGCTGTCGCTTTACTTTTATTCACTTCATCTGTTTCCTTCAAAGAAAAGTTTGTGTTATTAAGCGGGTAACAATACGTGACGCATTTTGTTTCCGATCTTATATTGGCGTTATATTTTCACAGTGTTTGGTCCTGACATAACAAAGCGGAATTTAAAAAAAAATGTAAACCGATATTTAAATTTGAGCAGCACAAGATGGAAACCAATACATCCAATGTGCAATGAATCAGAAGTACGCCTATGTCTGTGCTTTGACTTTACATCAATAGGTGCTCACATTTTGTTTAATATAGAAAGCGAGGCACATTGTTTTTATTATTCATTCGTTACTGCATTATTGAAGAAATTACCAGCACTAGCCTCAGACCACGTGACTTTCGAATGCACTCTTTTTGTGCTAAGGTCCGTTAAGTCAAAGCATTTATCAGAGTAAGCTCTGTCGATAGATTAATTGAAATTTTTGCACATAGCCTGTGAGACAGACCACAAGGGGTCACTTCCGATCTGTCTAGGCTGGCGTTTGTTTTCAATTTCAGGGATTGGTGAACTCATAATTTAAGCAATACCCAGATTAAGGGTAAATTACTTTACTTAAGTCCTTGACGTTTGGCAGCTCTGATCTATTCGTATGTGTGTTGCTTATTCAAGCCTTGTTGTGTCACTTATAGAAAGCAATGTTGTCAACATATTTTCTACCTCACGACACCTGCCCACAAAATGCCCCCCGTGCATCCTGACCAATATCAGACCCCGCAGATGACTCATGAAATTCACAAGTACAAACACAAAGTAGGTTCTGTACAATCAATATTTGATGATTTCCGGGTGAGGAACCTGAGTCAGTGTTCAGCACATTCATAAGATGCCGCTTCCAGGAACACCCGCGCGCGTGAACGATGAGCACTTGAGTGCAAAACGAAACAATTCCTCAATTCGATGATCGCACAGCAAACATCGCAATATGCACTTCCCGTGTCCATAGAGCTGTTTTGGTAGTCGCTGATGCCTTTGGAAGTTTGCACTGTCACTGAAAAGTCACGGTCGCGTTGACTTGGGTTTTGCACGCGCACCGGACAGCACTTGGAGGACATACAAAAACGTCTGTCGATTCCTGTCCTCGAAGCGGTGGTCTAATCTCCGCGAAACGAAAGCACCAGTGTGGACAGTCTTGGCACTGAGTTGGCAGAGTGGCGTGCCTGTTCTCGGCAAAGGTGTCTTCCTCAAGCGATGACGTCGTTCAAGAGCACCCTCTGCGATCTGGCGTTGACCACACACGTTCATGACGTCCACGACGGATGAGCAACCGCAACGCGTTCCACAACGACCTGTGGTGGTCGTGGACCACGGAGTCGTCGAAGTACGAAGCTCTGCCGTTCCGGATGACAGTCTGTCAACGGATGAAGTATCCCTGGTGAGAAGCGAAGACCACGTCCTCTGGCGACTGAGCAAGGGTCACGTGGCTCTGACGTCACGACAGGGGGTCCGGATGGGTGGAGTCTGAACTGGAGTCGTCCATCTGGATGTCTGGGGACATGGCCGCCGGAGGTCGCGGGGACGAAGACTTGCAATCGGAAGACCCGTGGGACGACGTGTGCTCTTCTTCTTGCTTCTGCCGCTTGTGCTTGGTTCGCCTGTTCTGGAACCATACCTTGACCTGCGCAGGCAAGAAAAACTGGGGCTTAATTTCATCGAGAAACAGACTGAGAAGACAGGTTAACATCTGATAAACCATGGTCAATAGCTTATGTTAACTAGTATTGATTATTCGTTGGTTAGACTATACAACCAGTCAAGTATCCTGCTACACGCGCAATACACAGTACCCTAAACGAAATATGCAGCGCGCGTTTTTTTTTTCTTCTTTGTTTTCACTTACTTCATGTAAGAGAGTATTAAGGGGAGAAGAACGATATTTGAGAATGATAGGCAGGCGTTTCCTATGTCGAAAAAATGATTTAGATGCGTCATGGTTTGACAAAAACAAATGACGGCTGTCCACAATCAAGCCACGAACAAATGCGGACCAGATGAATTCTGCTCGACCTGTTTACTGATGTATGCGACGGATTGCACAAAACCACAACAAGAAAAGCTTCGCTAAATATTACCCTTGGTTTCTGACAACTCATTTGGATATGTGCGCGATGTTTTTTTTTCCACTTGTCGCTCTCAGAAGAAAAGAAAGTAAAATCGTAACCCTTTACTCTAGACCGGTGTCGCGAACTTTATTTCTACACATAATGTCACTCATCAATATCCAGACTCGTTGCAACCCAGCCCCGCACAAGACAATGATGATCGAACAAAAAACCCTTTCCTTTTTAATTTTTCCTTCTCGCATCCATCTATTCGAGTCCTTCCTTCGTCGAGACCTCTGAAGTGCCACGCCTCCACTCCATCACCATTCTCTCGATTCATTGAAACGGACACCGCGCCGACCGCCAACCATTACCTGTTGCTGTCCCCAAAAGACAGCCGCATAAGGCGACCATCTATCGTCGCGCACGACCTGCCACCATTAACACTCTCCGGCTCGAGGGACAGCACCCCGCCCCTGACAAACCCATTCAGCATAGCTGCACGCGCGCGCCGACGAGCGTTCGTGTGCTTTATCCGCCTGCGCTTGGCTATACTATGTTCACACTCCACTCTCACAGCGCGGTGGAAGCTACGTGCTCGCTGGGCCAATCGTACGTCTACCTTTCACCACGTGATTACACTCCCGCCCCTACCCACGTGCAGAGAGCGAGGTTGGGTGATAAAGTAGAGGCGGTTGATTTGTCCGACGAGCGCGTAGCTGCCACCGCACTCTCAGCTTACAGGGGCGAAGGGAGTACAGACTCGACCGGGCACGCGGTCAGGCCCCAGCACGGCGGGTGCACGATAGGAAAGCACGCCGAGGGCGCCGAGATTAATTGCCCCAGCCGGCCCACAGGAAAACAATCAAAGCCGTTCAACGTTCGTCTCTTTTAGTTTACTGCCAGGTGGGTTCCGGAAAGTGTTTTCATTGTGTCCACAGGCGTGCCGACTTTTAATGAACGGCACGCCTAATGCATTAACTAATGGCGAGGCAACTCGCGTTGTTTCCCGCGCACTCCTCTGTGTGTTGTAGAGCTTGAACGGCGCGCGAGGCTCGATGCCGTGAACGAACGTCAAGAGGGTTACTTTTCCGCCAGGTTTGGATGGCTTATTCTACACGCGTCCCCTTCAACTGGCTGGGTACAAAACAACTGGGGTCGGCCTAACTACAGAAAATAAAAAAATGACTTCTCACAGAAACAAGGATAAATGAGGCTCCCGTAACTTTAGCGCCCCCACGTCAAACAGCTTCGCAATTTGGTGAAAACACCCTAAACAAGCGGTATAATTTTTTCTTTTAATTAATTAAGTTTGAACTTTACATTTTGTGCAATTATCTCGCTTCAACTTCGAAGCGTTCAAACTCTACTGAGAGCCAACCGCAGGCTCCAATTCAATAGGCATCTTTAAAATTTGCATTCTTCGAGGCATGTCTAAGATGCGGGTTTTTCAATGCACATGCTTTGGATACGTTCTCGGTATGATCTAGTCGTGCGCTTTTACATCAAGGGGACTATATGACAAACGAAGTTGAGCCTACGAGAAGGCACCTGCGAGAATGCCGAGCACATCCGTGGTTATGACAAAGGGGTCCCCGCTGACTGCTGCCAACCTTGGTCGCCGATAAGAGCAAACAACATTGGGCCCTTCTCTCACGTCGGCGGCTGCCCTTGGCTCGGAGACCCGTTATCGATGGCGTTCCGAAATGAAGTCGTGATTAATGTGTTCGCCCACTGTCCCACGCTGTATACATTTTTTTTTTCTTCTTTCGTACTCTTACTCGCACGATTCGATCGAAGAAACACCCTCTTGCAAACGAGCTCGAAAATGAATTGCGTCCTGTAATAGAGTCATTAACGCCGACGGTCGCGCCTTCGCGCAGGCGCCGATGAAACAACCAGCGAAACACGATATCAAGATGCATAGTCGGCGTAGGAGACGTTGTATCCCATTAGGGCTTTGTGACTCTGTAGAGGCAACACCCGTCCCTTCGTCTTCTGGCAGGCTATACTTATAGCTATAGGCGAGCCAAGAGCTGCTCGACAACATGGCGCCCATCCTTCTTCCTGCTGCGAATGCCTCGGCGATCTGACCGAATGATTTCCCGCTAAATTTAGCGGACAAACGTTTTCGCTGAGGGTAATGGAAAATGTATCCGCTACATTTAGCGGGAAAGTATAGACGTCATGTGATATGATGTCACGTGACTCCGTGACCTCACAGTGTCGAGAAACTGCGATTCCCCGCTAAATTAATCGAAGACGTCTGCCCGCTAAATATAGCTGACCACAAGTTCCACAACGTACGTACACCAAAAACACACGGGGACGGAACCTGGCCAATAGAGAGTTTTAGTGGACCGTTAGGATAAATCTAACACCGGGATGTTTTCGTAGACCGCGTTTCCCCCTCCGCCAAGTTTTCCGCGACGAAGAAGCCGCTACTGCGGTTGCGCGCCGATGGCCTCGACTGTAGAGTTCCGAATATCGTAGAGCGAATCGCGGTGGGTGTTGCTGGACGGCGAAAACTCCTTAAGGAAGCGGAGTCAAAAGTGCATTGTCACGACGCTCCTTGCTTTTGTGTGATTGCTGTCAGCGACAAAAGCGATCAAGCAAAGAAAATGCGCCGCAATCGTACGATTTCTTTTTTATGTGCGTGATTGGTTTAGCCTGTGATAATAAACCCAGAAAAGCAAGGAGCGTCATGACGGTGCGCTTTTTGCGCTGCTTGATTAGCTTCATCAAAGCGTAGCATTAGCTGCGGTAGCAGTGAAAGTGAAACAGAGTATTACTCCGTGCTACGGGTTTCGTTCTTTAAGGCGAAAGCCTTATATGTCTCATTGTTGAGTCGACCTTCGAAGTCCTTGAGCGAAAACACGTCGACGACACGAAAGGTACTAAAACGTTTACGTGACCGCTCGGCGAATTACATGCAATGAAATTAAGAAGTGGACAAATGGAATTAAGAAAATTCAAAGTGGATTAATAAGAATTAGAGTGAGTTAAGAGTAGTTAAAGAGAACTAAGAGTAATCAATGGGAATTAACAAGGACTATAAAGCGAATTAAAAGGAATCAAAGTGAATTAAGAGGAATTAAAATGAATTAAGAGGAGTTAAAGAGAAGAAAGAGGACTACGAGAAATTATGTACGCAGAATCTGGAAATAACATTTGAAACAAATAAAGAGAATGTGAAAAAAGAGAACGCGAAACAAAGTAAATCATACGTATGTCTTTAATGCATCGGCGCTTGGGCTTTCTTCTTCAAGTTGTCTTAGGGAAAACAAAAGATAACATTTTTTTTATTTTAATTTGAGATGTAAGAGAGGAAGGCGTTTGTCTAGCGACAAGGGTACAAAGTGGTCTCGTTCTGCTACGGCTGAGAGCCGATTGAGCGGACAAGGTTGGGCCTCCCTGTATTCAACGGAATATGACCTTCATAAAACAAAATGTCGAAATGATGTCGCATCTTTACGTAGTCTGGAGCGAAGCACCGCATAAACACAGTCCCGTTTTTAATGCACGATTTTTTTTAACGTTACTTCTAAAACGCAATTCCAAAATTTTGACCGTCCGTCCGTGTATTTCCCTCTCAATTTAGCGGGAAAATCGAAATCACGAGGCCTATACACGAATTAGGTTTCCCGGGAAAAATTTAGCGGGAAGATCGATGTCACGTGATCTGACGTCACGGGACATACAAATCCAATTCGGTTTTCCCGCTAAAATCAAAGAAAAAATATATATCAAGTGACCTGCACACCAATTCAGTTTCCCGCTAAATTTAGCGAGAAATTGACGTCACGTGACCTATACACCGAGTCGATTACCCGCTAAATTTAGCGGGAAAATTCGAGAGTCTTGTCACATAGACACCGATCCAATTTTGACGCCAAATTTAGCGGGGGAAATCGACATCACGTGACCTATTCAACCATTGTTTCCCCGCTAAATTTAGCGGGGAAATATACTTCACGTGAAGCATTAATTCTCTAACGAATTCATTATAATGCAATTTCATGCATTATACTAGGACTGTAAGGATAAAAGTCGCTCCCTCTTTCTCATTTTTCTGGATTTTTTTACCAGTCCACGCTACCTTTCGTCCACATCAGTCCTTGCTTTCTTGCTATATGCCTTCATACGACATTTAAAGCGGTAAAGGGTGGGGAAAAAATACTTCAAATTTATAAGGGCAAATCAAGTTACCTCGAGTTGTACTTACGCCTCAACAACTCCTATCTCGTCTTGACATATACATGAGTAACCTCTATGTTTGATTGTCTTGCCAGAAACTTGAAACCGAAACAAAATAATAACAAACGTGACAGGTTCGGCTCTGATGTGCAGGTGGGTGCCTCACGCGTAAAACATCTTTATCGCATGTTCGTGCTAAAATTGGACGTTCCTATTATGTGCTCGTCTCCGCTGGTTTCGATGGTGGGCATGCGGCTACGTTTTGATGGATCTCCCATGAACTGTCGCACTTTCGAGCCCAGCAGCTAAATATTTCGTGTGGGTGTCAATCAAGTTTGACCTATTTTCATCGTCATTTATTTATATTGTTATTTTTCGA